GCAGACATTGCTGCTTTTCAAGAAGATGCTGACAGTCTGAAACACACACTTGAAGCAGTTCTGGCAGAAAAGAAAGCTTTGGAGAAGCAGTTAGAAAACATAAATGTAGAGGCATCTCAAACAAAGAATGAGCTTGAGGAAACCAAGTTAAAAATGAACCAGCTAAAGCAAGAAATAAGTATGTTAAAAAAAGAGTATGAAAGAATAACAGAGAAGTATAAATCTGCTCTGATGAAAGGTGATAGGGAAAAAGCAGAAGATAGGAGCAATGGGAAAACTGAAAAAGTGGAAGAAGGCTTATGTGAGAAGGTAGAGTTGCTAGATCAGTCCCAGCTTAGGTCTTCAGATGAGAATGCAAGAGTCACCATTAGCAAGATGGAGGTACAACTGCAGCAACTTCAGGCATGTATTGAGGAAAAGGATTCAGAACTGTGCCAGTCCTACAATGAAATAAAAGACCTGAAAGACCAAGGCAAAGCTGAAAGAGAAACACTTAAAAAGAAGATATTAGAACTGGAGAAGACACTAGTGGAAAAAGTTGCTGCTGCTCTTGTGAGTCAGGTTCAGCTAAATGCAGTTCAAGAGCAAAGGAAATTCATGCAGGAAGTTCCGGAAGCTTCAAAATGTGTGGAGGAAGGAAGCAAGCATGCCCAAACAGAGGGATTGAGTGATAGAACTGAAAATGAGACAGGATCAAAATTATCACTGTTAACACAGAGGCTTAGTGAGATGGAGGACCAACTGGCAATGGTAAATTGTAACTTGGAGCTAGAAAAAGCAAATGTAGAACTTGCACAAAAGGAAGCTAAAGTGAAAGAAGAGAGACTCTTAGAACTTCAGCAATTTCTAGAAGAGGTTCAAGAAAAACACAAAAGAGAGATTCAGAAATACATTAAGCAAGAAGAAATGCAGACATATCAGGTAATTAAGATGCCATTTTCTTTTGGCTTTTTTTCACTAAAATCTGGTATTTTATGTAAACTATAATGAATGAAACACTTCCTAATGAGACTAATGATAAGAATATTCTGCTGCATGGGGTAGACCTTCATTTCTCTATTATTCCTGGAGTTACAAAGAAGAGAAAGATGTTATTTTAGATGAGCCTCACTATCAATTTCCGTTTTACATTAGAAACACCTGGCCTTTTCATGAATGTAGGGTGATTTTGAATTTTGGACATCTGCTTTCTTACTCTTACTTGAATTGACATAGAATGGAGTGAATTATGCTTTTACATGGCATGGAGGTAGAGAGATAAAAATTAAAATTATAAAAATTATCTAAGAGAGGGCTCAGAATGGTAAGGGAGTGGTAGCAATTTGTCTGTACAGTTTTTGGGGGGAGGGAGGTTGTTTGTTTATGTATGCTTTGGTTTTGGTTTACTTGCTTTCCTGTCTTGCCTCCAAAGATATTTCTCATCAGTAGTTTTTACCAGTATACATTTGTCCTGGTTTCCGTTCGCCACTGTTTATGTTGCCTCTGAATTTAAAACCTTCAAAGTTGACTATGCTTGATGGGCCAAACATGGGCTTGGTTGCTGAAACTCTTACATTCAGAGACATCATGGAACCCAGTGCTGGATCAGAAAAGGTTCTAAGACCTTTCATCCAAATGCAGATTGAATGAATGCCATAAATATCTTATAAATTTAATATTATCAGACTTCATTTCCTACTCTGTTGACCTTCCTCCCTGTGCTTTCTACGTGATGTAGCCAATTTCTGCTTGCAGTTCCACTGAAGACCTGTAAGAAGATGGTCTTTCCTCCCCTGCTTGTCTTTCCTTCTAAGCTTATCCTGTTTGTGGGAGTTAATCTAGGAAAATGATCTTTCAGTCTTAATTTTTTGAGGCTATGTTAATCCAAATAACATACATTCATTTTCCTCTGTGGTCTATTCATTTATGGCTTTTGTAAGCTGCTGGGAAAGTGGTAATTGGTGTTAATGCTTGTTTCTTCTTAAGATTCTTCATAATTTTCCATATCTTGTGTTGCCACGTAGGTAGGAGCACAACTCATGGAAAGTCAAAAAGAAAATGTGCTTATTAATGAACTTGAACTACAGCAAGTTAAAGAAGAGGCAGCTGCTGCTAAGGAAGAACTGAGCAGTTATAGAGAAAGGGCAGAAAAACTTCAGCAAGAACTAGCAGTAAGAACCAGCTTGTTCCACATTGTATTTAAAGCAAATGATTATACGGGACTTATTCTGCAAATATGCATGCTATAGGTTTTTTCAGTCTTGTGCTGAAAATGCCACTAAGAAACGGTCACTCAGTACCTACCATCAGTGGAGTAGAGCTGATACTGTAGACCAAATCTTCATTTATTGCCAAAGTACATAGTTTTACAGTCCACTACAGAGCAACAGTGGATCTAGAGCTGCGTTTCTTAGGAGATCATATTTGTTACCATGTGTCACAACTTCTTAAAAATAGAACTAAACTGAGTTCTAGTGCTATAGAGGGTTGTTTGGGTTTTAGATTTTTTTTTAAGTATTTTGAAGGACTGCAATTCAGATTCTCCATATTTACAGGTTAAAGAAGCAAGTCTGATACATCTTCAGGAAAATCTGTTCAAAGTCAAAGAGAACCTAGTTCAAGTGGAAGAGAGGCTTGCAAGTTACGTGAGAAAGGACAAGAAAATGGAAAAAACTGAAAGTAAAAAGGATGCAGAAATATTGTGTGATTTGTCAACCAGTGAGTCTACTCTAATTAGAAAAAGCTCATCATCACAAACAGACAAGACCGTGGAAATCAACAGCTGTATCCAGACTTCACCAGTCTTTGTTAAAAATGCAGAAATCCAAACTGATTTGCAAAATGAATGCTCTTCAGAAGAGATTGCAGAGATCATAAAGGAATTCACTGAAAAAATTGACCAAATGCAAGAACTCCATGCTGCTGAAATCATGGACATGGAGACAAGGCATATCTCTGAATCTGAAGCATTAAGGAGAGAGAAGTTTGTTGCAGTGCAAGTGTTGACTGAAGAATGTAACACTTTAAAGGAAGTCATAGAAACTCTACAAGCTAAAGAGGTACGTGTCTTATTTTATATTCATTGAACTACTTCGGTTCTTGCTTTTGCTCCTGCTACAGAAATTCTCATTTAAAGTCTGTTAAGCGTGAACCACTGCATGTTTGGAATAAAGCTTTTGAGTGTTTTAATGTTTCCACGGCCTAGGGAGAGATTTTGAACCCCATCCTCAGTCATGTAAGTTTGGGAGTGTGCTTGACCGACAGGTGCTTCCTTGTGCTACTGCCTTGGACCTGTCCTGCTCTGTGGAGTGGGGACAAGTGTAGGTCACCCTACGGAATTCCAGCTTTCATGTCTCCATTTTGATTACTTTGATTGCAGGGGAAACCAAACAAATAGGCTCATATCGTTTCCTGCTCCTTAGAATTAGCTCCCTTACTGTAGGTGATTAAAGATTTGATTGTTCTCTTTTCTAAATATAGGCAATCTCACCTTCTGGATTAGCACATTCTCCACCGTATCAAGCTAGAGATGCAGGTTCTAGTGGTAAGAAACTTGTTTTTATAGATTTCAAGCAGCATTATGAATTAAATCTGCATTTTTAATATTAAGTTTACTGTTAAAGAGTTTGTCTTCTAAGAAATAAAAACAACTACTTCCTAGATCAAAGCAGAAGCCCGTCACATTAACAAAAGGTGCTGAGAATGCCGTGTCTGTTAATTTGCTACAGAAGGAAAATGGCTAGAGTGGAGATGGGTTGAGGCATCAAATGCTAATTTTTTTCTTCCCACTGGACTTTCTATATTCTCTTTAGGTATTCCATTGTCTGTTCAGCATAGCTTCATCATCTTTTGATAGGAATTAAAGCTACATCTCCCTAGCAGTGGGAGATGATGACAGGTACTGACTTCTCCAAGGGCAATAACAATTATTAATGTGATCCTTTTCATAGGCAAAGGCTAAGCATATTAAGGGGAGGGTCATTTGGCAGAAGTGCTTGTGCAAATAATTATTTCTCTTTTAGAACTAAACTAGGATTGTTAGGTTTGGTTTTTTAGTTTTGTTTTGCTGTTACTGCTTTGAAACTGAAAAAGAAAAACTATGAAACAGGTAGTCTCCAGGCTTAGAGTCAGCTCTGGTGACATGCAGCCACTTGTTACAACAACAGACAAAAATACTTTTTTGATGCCTGTTCTTCAAAGTTTCACAGTAATCCAGCTTTCATGTTTTTCTCTCCTTTTATTTTAGACTCCAATTCAGACTGGAGTCAAGGAATTTATCTTACTCAGACCCAGGGATCGGACACGATATCTGAAGGAATAGATGAAGGTGAAACTTCAACAGATTTACTTCCAAAAAAAATTAAGGTAAAATAGAACTGATCATTTTTATTATGGAACAAGACTGATACTAGCCATTTAGATAAGTTTTAAATTGTCGTCTGTTTTAATAGATTTAAAAATACTTCTGATAAATGACGTGCTTTTTTGCATGTTAAATTGGGTTAAATATGAGTTTTGTAACTGTAGGCTTGTTCTCGATTAGGATTACAAGAAATATAACTACTGTTAGTTATAACGTATTGTAGTTATTGTGCATTAATGATAATGTAATGATCATATATTACACAATTTTATAGATTCTGTTATTATAGGTGTAGAATAATATCTATATTATGAAATAGTATCTAAATAACAAGTGTGTTAATTAGAAGCACAGTACTCTTACTGTTTATAATAACACTAAAAAAAAGGCAGGTCTTTTGCAACAAAGCCCTAGCTTAATAGCCATTTAAAAAAAATAATTGCAAAGCTCACCTGAAAGCTTCCCAGGACTTTGTTTGTAAAATGTCAGTTTCCATCAGGAACTGTTTTAAAATTTGGGTATTGATTTGGTGGATGAACTTTGGGAATTTTCATTTGAATCTGAAGAAAAATACATGTATTTAATAAGTTCTAGGTGACACTTCTGTCTTTGATAGGAGGAAGCATAAATAGTTTCTTTATGCTGATCAATTTAGAAGTACCAGAATTCTGGTATCTATGACATAAGATTGTTGTTGTTGTTATTGTTGTTATTATTATTATTAGGACTAGCTTTACTGATTTCTTTTTGTATTTACTGTAGAGTTTACTGAGAGCAGTCCATCACGAAGGCATACAGGTGCTGTCTCTCACTGAATTTCCATATGCTGAAAGAGAGATGCCACCTCTTAAGCAAGAGCCAGAATCTTGGCTTGAGGAAAGGAAAGCTTTTCTAAGCACCATTTCATCTTTGAAAGACCTAATTGGAAAAATGCAACTTCATAGGGAAGCTGAGGTATAAATAATATCATAAGATTCTATCTAAATTAAAAAATATAACATTATAAGGCACATTCAGAATTCATGTTTAAACGCTCTAAGTACACTGCTTCAAGGCAAAAGATTTCAAAAATATGCAGTAAAGCTGCATGTCACGCTTTCTGGTAATAAAATGTGTGTTAAATTACAGCTTGCATTTGTTCTTCTGTGTGTTGATAGCTTTAGACTGTATAGATCCACCTTTTAAAAATAATTCTATTTTGAAAGCATGTTTCCAGGAGCAGTTTTTAATGTTGTAATTTATTGGAGTAGTAGAACTTGGATGCTATTAAAAAGATACTGTAGTGAGAGAAAAGGGGGAAATTTGTTCAAAATATAACACAGTGTTACACAGTAATCTGTTAAAACTTATTAAGACTTGCCTGTCTAATTGCACCAATTAGACTTTTGGGTATATGTAGGTAGTTTCTATTACATCTGCATTTCCTTCAGCATGTGAAGTAGGATGATTAACTTTCTATCATTATAAAATTAAGTCTTCTTCATACACAATATCTGCACACTGCAACATGGCTCTCTGACAGTCTGAGAACATACAGGTAACGTCATAAAAATGAAAGTGGTAGTGTGATACAGTAACATAAATAGTAACTACACAGGGGTAAGTTTTCAGTTATAAAAAGCTAAATTTCTTCCATCTAGCACGCAGATAAAAGTTTAGCATTTGTGCATGCCAGAGAAATCATAATGTACAATAAATACACCCATTTGTATGAATGATGGTTACGTAGCTATTGAGTCAGAAAAGCTCAGTATTCCACTGAAAACACACACTTTACATAAAATGATAATAACCACACTTGATGTAATCTTTAAATTCTGCTGTTTTAATTGTTTATACACCACTGCAGGTCTATGCAAGTTCTGAATGTCCTGAAGATGTCTCAGACTGGCGAGGAGAACTTCTTTGTGCTGTTCAGCAGCTTTTTGTGAGGGAACAAAATGTTGTTCTTGCTGCATTTCAAACTGAACTTGCAGAACTGGGCACAAGAGATGCAGTGATATTGATGAATCGGTTAGAGCACATACTACAAGAGCAGGTAATATAAAACATACTTTAGTCCAAGTGTGTTTGTCTACATTAGATTTTAATTTTTAATGTATAAATCCATTTAAAAGTGTGTATTGTAATAGTAGCTTTGACAGTCTAAGGGTGAAAACAAAGTAAGACTTGTAGGAAGATGAGGTGTCTTTAGAAAGAAAAACTGGTGTGGTGCGGGAAAGAGATTTTTGGGTGCACAAACTGTAGAAAAAACAGCCTTCAGAGATCAATTTGAATTAAAACACAGTTGTTCTGAGCTTGATTTCATTAAGTTAATTAGAATTATGTTACACTGTCTAAGAGAAAAGGTAGCTCACATATATGAAGTAAGTTGTAAGAAGAGGAGGTGATAAGGCTGCCATGGGACAGAGAGAAGTCAGTTATCTCCTCTGAAACATGGAAGGATTAGTGAGGAAAATTACAATTTGCCATAAAACCAGTAACTCTTTTGGTTCTATAATTTTGATGCCTAGTAGAAAAATAAATAACAAAATAACAAGCAGTTCTTCCCAGTATTATAATAGTGACTTAATTATGACTTAATTGAAAATGTTTTGAATATATATGCACTATGAATATATAAGTAAATGTGATATCCACACCATAGATTTTCTAATAAAATCTGGGGTTTTACTTTTAAATGTTTCTAACGCTAATAGGCTACTAACCAGAGAGCAGCAATGGACTGTCTTCAGAATGCAGACAGAAGAAGTTTGCTGATGGAGATTCAAGTATTACATGCTCAGATGAACAGTAAGAAAAATAATCCAAAGAGAGAACAAGAGATTGATTCAAAAAGCCAAGGTGACTTCTGTCGTAATAGATGTCTCTTTCCAAAAGCTTTCATGGCAGTGCTCATAACATTGTGGGTGAAAAAAATACTGATTTTCTTTGCTCTCTGATTTTGGTACTCATGTTCTGAGCACACATACGTTCCATCTTTTTCAATCTCATTGGACTAATTTTGCAGAAATTAAGATATAGCCTGTGTTCTTATGACTTGTATCAAATTGAAAGTGATACAAAATTATTTCAATTGCTATAAAAATCAGCCTTGTATTTTAAGGTTATTTTCTATGTACGTGCTTCAGTGGTTAGGTTCAACAGCTTTGGAGTTATCTAAGTTGGATAGTCAGTCATAATGAATAAACTAAGAAGCAACTAGAATCAACAGCAGGAAGTTCAGAGAACAGGTATATTTTAAAATTGCGTAAGCACTCACTGTCAGTGTTTTTTCACAAAAATTTGGTCACAAGTATGCATACTTACCTAACTTCAGTTATGTTAGTCGTCATCTAAATGATACGTGCTGATATGGTTGTGCACGTAGCCTTTTAAAGAAGTGTAAGAGTTGAAGTGATTTCTTGGAAAGTGTGGAAGGTATTCCAGTATAAAAAGCGTGGTTGTCCTTTCACTCCGCTATTGAAAGAGTATATTATTTTAAAATATCACTCTTTGGTGATAGCTTTGTGGTCATTCTCTGTGCTAGGGGAAGCTACCCAAATAGACAGTGTTGTTTATTTACTAAGTAATTTCCATATTAATGGTATTCTCATTAGAAATGCTGGAGTATAATATGCAGCAGAAGCAGTCGCAGATACTGGAGATGCAAGTGGAGCTCCGGAGTATGAAGGACAGAGCAGCTGAGCTTCAGGAACAGCTGAATTCAGAGAGAATGATGGGTGCTGAGCTGAAGAATGAACTTGCACAAGCCAAACTAGAGCTTGAAGCAACCCTTAAAGCACAGCACAAGCACTTCAAGGACCTAGAAACAATCAGGTGCGGCTTTCAGTGCCAAACTTTCCATGATAAAGATGGTCTTTTCTGTGTTGTCTCAAGTCATAATACTTATTTTAAGGAAGTTGATCTCATGTAATGTAAATGCTTCTCAGTTTTTCTGTGAAACGTATATGACAAAAAATAGGCTTCTGTTCCATTTGACAAAAAATGTAATTCTATAGATTAAGAAGATCTGCTTCATAGTTTGTTTTAATGATTTATTATATCAAATTTCTTTTTAAATTTTGGCACATTAGACTACTGTGTACAAGCTAATAACTGTACCATATTTATTAAAGGTTTTCTGCTTCTAAAAATTAACATGGAGAAAAAAGATTGCAGAGTTGAGATGACTTTGCAAGTACTTCCATATGAAATTCTGTAACTTCTAAGTGTTTGCTTTGGCGTGGTCAACAGCAGAGGTAACAGGCCAAGTATTTGGCACTCAAGAAAGCCATTGCTATTTATACCTTTACTAAATGGATGTGCCCATGTACAGTATCTTCACGTTCAGCTCAGAGATGACAAATTAAGACAGAGTTTAAGTTTGTGTTACCTTATAGATTACCTTACAGCCTTTACAGACCATCAAGAGCAAGATTCTTTTGCAAATTGGTGCAAAATTGATTTGCAAAAAAATGAAAATTCAGGACATACATTTTTTCCCCCAAAGATAGATTTTTTTTTCCCTTGGAGATATGTGGCAGCAAGATGCATTCCCCCTGTGTCCTTTCAGATTTTGGTCAGTGACCGGATTAAGTTGAACACTTGCTGTCTCTGAGCCACCAATTAATAAAAAATGGCAGATACAAAGTTAGCAGGATGGACACACTTTCTGTCATTTTTGAGCTATGCAACTCTTTTTTTATTTTTGAGTTAAGCTTGGTTTTCTGCATAGGCTTTTCATTGTTACTGTACTACAGGAGCTGTGTTTTCAGTGCACAAGATGGAATAAATATCAAGGAACTGATCTTACTGTGATAGGATTAGATCCATTGTCTAATCTAAAGTTTGCCCATTTCTCTTTTAGGACTGAAGTTAAAGAAAAAGCAGCTGAGCTAGATATTCTCAAGGATACAATGGCCAGTGAACAGAAAAAATCAAGAGAGCTACAGTGGGCTTTGGAAAAGGAAAAAGCTAAAATTGAACGCAGTGAGGAACGAGGAAGAGAAGAGCTTGAGGTATTCCATAATGCCAAATGGCCTGGGACATCAAGGAGCACACAAATATTCTTTTGGTTAAGACTTCGTCTCCGCTTACATTTTTGTTCAAATTGTTTCAGTCCTTTGCAGTGTCTGGTACAGTGAGGAAGAGAGCAGGTATCTTAGTACAAGTATTAAGACAAAAAAGCGATCACTTTAACAGCATAGATTTATTTATATCTTGAAGTCTTCACTTGCAGAATCACTTTCACAGTTACGGAAAGTAAAAGCAGCTAGTTATCTTCAACTTCAGAACTACGGCTGTTTGTATCTCATTAAAAGTGCATGTTACAAATATTCTTTTATGAGATGATCTGATTTTAGAATAAAGGCACCTGTAATATATTTTAATGCCAGATGTAACTGCAGCATTCAAAGTATTGTCACATTAACTGTGAACAGCAAAACCTGTTAAAAGCAACATGTGTAGAGGTAGCGTATTTGCAATTTGCAGAAGATAATGGAAAGTATGTAGAAATGGCTTTAATCAGTTCTTTTCTTCTGTATTCTTATGGGAAGGATTTAAAATTTTCACTTGAAGATCAAAAACGAAAGAACTTACAGTTAACAAAACTTTTGGAACAAGAGAAACAGCTGTCAACTGATCTGCAACAGAAGATTGAGTCCCAAGAAGCGCTCAGTGCTGCCCAGCTGTCGTGTGAACGAGGCCGTAATTCTGAGTTGCAGGTGCTTCTTGAATCAGAGAAGGTTCGAGCTCTCGAAATAAGCAGTGCTCTAGAAAGGGAAAAAGAGCTATGTGCTCAGCTTCAAAATGCTGAAGATAAGGGACAAGCTGGAACACCTAGTCCATCTGAGGAATTACTTAAAGAGCTACAGAAACAAATGGATGAAAAGCATGGCCGTATAGTGGAGCTAGTAAGCGAGATGGAGAAATACAAACTGGAATCTGCGCAAGTAAGACAGCAAATGGAAAAAGAAAGGCAGATCCAGAGGAAAGCATTACAAGCAGAACAAGATGCTAACATAATAGCACAGAAGAAACTCCATGGACTGGAGTCCAAAGTAGAAGACCTTCAGTGGCAACTTGGAGAAAAGAAGCAAGAAGTTCATAAACTAAGGAATGAAACAAAGAAGTTGCAGGAAATAACCCAAGAACTACAGAAAAAGGAGCAGGAGAATGAGGGAAGAAGGGGAGTCGAAAGGACACCAAGCCACAATCCAAATGAGGTACAGTAGGACTGAGAGCAATGTGTAATACTGAACTGTGCATTTTAGCTTTTAATTCTTTTGTTCAGTTAACACTGTGTGTTGCTTTGCCTTTACTCGATCTATAAAATAGCCTGTGGATTACAAAATATGGGCACCAGAGAAGGGGAAAGGGAAAGCATTCCAGTTTTGCTACCTAAAACTATTCACATGCATCCTCTGAGACTGAAGCTGTAGAGGTGTGTGAGGAAGAGCATGAGCAGGTGAAATGCATCTGACAGTATAGACACACTTTGTGTCTTAGTATAGGAGAAGACTATTCCCTTCATCCAGTCACAGGAATGAGCTGTTCCTATTCAGGAATGCTCCAGGTCAGTGCTCTTAACCTTTAGTTCATAAACCACAAGTAGTCTTTGAAATATTTAAAAGTGATCTCGCACCAGGTTTAATAATTAAATTAGTAAGTTATCAAACAAACATATGCATGAATATGTGTATGTTAGCAAACAGAAGCAAGAAATCAAGGTAAAAAAATGAATTTAAGAATTTAGCCTAATTTTTAAACGAGGGAAAGTTGGAGCCACTGTTGCCTGTAAATTTTTCTCTCTCATAAAAGGTTTGGAAAGTTTTAAAATTATTTTTAAATTACTTTTAAAACTCTTTAGAAACTTCCCTGTAAGTGATAAGTGTTACTGGGTGAGTGATTTCCGGGTAGGACAGGAGACTTGCCTCATTGCTGACTGTGGTTTTGCCCATCCTGCCATTGTTCCATGCTTTTGGGCAGCTGTCTGCCTGTGGAGCCAGGAACGAAATTTTTCTCTTCGTCTAATTTGGCTACTGGTTTTGATCTTCTGAAACGCTGGAAACTACCCATAGCTGGAGGCAGATGTTGAGTGCGTTGGTAACTGTGGTAGCACCAGCCTTCCTGCCATGCTCAGTTTGTGTTCTTCTGCTCCGAGGTAACTGCCAGCACTGCCGTCAACAAAGAGCCTTCCTTGGATCAGGGTGGCAGTGGCTGTTGGGGCTTTTTCCCCTCCTTGGCAGCAGACAGTATGATCTGCTTTCCAGGATCTGCCTGGAGTTTCACATAATGAATCTCCTATGACATTTGCAACACCCTGCTTTTTTTCACTGGGATCACACCACGGTCAAATATCTAAAGGCACAGCCGTAGACTCAGGTTTCCTTGGGAAGGCTAGCAGTTCTTCCATGGTCAGTGTTGGGGGGCTGTTAGTGACGGTGAGGAGCACATCTTCAGTTCATTGCTCATGGCAGCATCAGTGGTATGCTTGCCTGTGACTGTGGACTGACATCGATCACCATGGTGGGCTTTTCCAGTCCTGTTCCGCTGACTGTGAATTGGTCACTGATACACATGGGCACAGCTGCACAAATTTCGTGCACAACTGGTAAAGGCGCTGCTGGTGGAAGAAACAGAAAGGCTTGGTGGCTTCATGCCAGCCGTGTTTGTTGAATGGATTTGGACTGTAGCTGTATGATTGCTAGGTCTTAGTCAACAGAGACATCACGCTACACCATTCACAAATAACACTTTAGTGGTATGCTACAACGGTAGTGTAATCACACTAAACTCCTTTCTGTGTCAGAATTGTTCTTCAGTTTCTGGGTGTGTTTCAGAAGCAAATATTTCCATTTTAAAACACTGGACCACATGCATTTTATATATATATATATATATGTATTAAAAAAACATATTTATGTACAGACTACCTGGGATACACCTAATGACAGAACAAGAAACTGGGTTCTCCAGCAAAAAATGAAAGGAGCTGAGACCAGTGAATCGACCTACCCCACACCGACGGGAGGAGATCTGTCTGCTGCTACTGAAATTCTGGAAAGTGTCAGACAAAAGCTGCAAAACGCATCTCCAAAGCTGAAGCAGTTGGCTAGGAAAGCTGCCAGCAGGTTAGACCAGTCTTCAGCTACTTGGTTTTGTTAACAGCAACCAGCAAGCTAATGTACTGGGTTTTAATCATAATTCATAGACTGCGGGCCTAGCTGATGTTGGGGTTTTTCTGATTTTACAGTATATGCCATTACTTGAGATACCCTGTAATCCTGCCTCACATCAGTATATCAAGTGCTGCTCTAAATCTTACACATTTAATATGGTCCTTTATAAGTTACAGCAAAGTTGTCTTTTTTTTCTCTGAAAAGTGATAAGGTTTATTTGGGTATGGTGTAGGTAGATAATTTTTAAACAATTTAGTAATGAAATAATTCACTGTATAAGAGGATGAATATAGGGATTATTGCTATGAATCATCCCCCTTTCTTCCCCCAGAAAAAATTAATATTTTGTTGTCAAGTGAAACTGATATTGATTCTTATTTTCTTGGATTACTATCTCCTTAAGAAAAAAAATAACATGGTACCAGGTCCATGGGAGGTTTCAATCTGTTTTTATTTTGCTGTGATGGTGATTTAATATTAAACATTCATTCTGAAACATTTGGGCAAAGCAGAATGCATTATATCTTGAAAATACCCTAAGATTTTCTTGCCACAGATTCAAAAAATTTGTGGGAAGCAGAACCACGTTTTTAAATGTGCTTCGTGTAGAACATCCTTTTCTCAAAATGAGTGGAAACTGTTCCATGCAAATGCTTTACAAAATCAAGCCAATTTCGTGTAGAGTCACTGAGCAGTCTTGAAAATGTTGCCATGTCTCCGTGACTATGCTGAGGTGACTTGCTCCAGTCCCCGAGCATGCAGGTCGGTGGGAAGTCCTCTCTGGCTGGCTCGCAGCATCAGGCTGTACCTGCTGCTGAAACTGTGCCTTTTGTTCCAGGTTACAGTTTGAAACAGCAGATGATCAAGACTTCATTGCAATACAAAACGCTGTTGAAGAAGTTATTTTAGAGCTGCAAAAGCTGCCTGGATTGTCCTACCTGGAAGAGGTGAGAGTGCAGTGTTGTAACTTTGGTGGGAGAGCTTGGAGGATGAGCCATGAGTGGGAACCAGCAAGGAGTTGTTAAGTTTGGACCTACCCAGGTCTGTACTTTATAGAGGAATATCTGCTCCAGTGAGTGTTCTGATTGGGAGTTGGTGAAGTATAAAAAACCCTTTCCTTTTATTTTTAAATTTTAATTACCTTAAAAGAAAATTTTCAACTTTCAAATTAGAACTTTTACATTTAAATTATAAATTTTTGAATCTCTCAGCTTTTTCTTTAAGAAAATTTATTTTTCTTGCAGAATTATGTCTGTAACCGAGGCAATTTTTCTCAGTACTTCCCAATATTAAAATCAGCATTTAATATTCTGTGTTGATACAACGCATTTACTTAAAGTGCTCTGTATTTACCAGAGGAAAGACAGTCAAAGACTGAGCAGTGTGCAACTGTGTAAAAACTGAAATGAGGTAATCTGTTAAAAAGAATGCAGCAGTATTTGATTTTAACTGAGCTTGGCTGGGTCCTTGCCTGCATTTTAAACAAGTGTTTTCATCATGACTTGAAAAAAATCTTTGAGGCTTTTCTTTTCCTCTAGGTTAGATAAATCTAAACATAGTTGGAAAGCTTTGCAAATTGTTACAGCTGATACAATTGAGCTTGTGTGAAAATATTCTACTGTGATACACAGGATAAGGATAGAAAAGAAAGTCCCATTAATCTATAGTTTATTTACATGTACGCTTCTGTTTTCTTTATATAAGTTATTATGAAGTTATTGTCAGTATCTACAAAAGTTTTTCACTGTAAGCCAGTTATTGTCCAGTTGACAACTTGGATCGAAGACAAGTTGTGTTTGGTTTTCTTTCTTCCTTTTAGCTGAAGGTGGTGCTGCCACCCGGGACTCCCTCAAGCTCATTGACTGAGAGGCTACTGAGACAAAATGCAGAGCTGACGGGCTTTGTCAGCAGGCTGAGTGAAGAAAAGAATAACTTGAGGAATGCTGTTATGAAACTGGAGGAAGAACTGAGAAGATACCGGCACAGACAACCTTCTGGAGACTACGTATGTCTTTAGTGGTGCTGCTATAACTATGTATATATAGGCATGAAAGCATCATTCTTGGTCCTAGTCACCTAAGTGCGAGTGATCAAGCTGTCTGTCTGACTTGGCTTCTCTCTGCAGAGTAAATGGGTTCAGTTATTCTTCTCATGTGGTCAGTATATCTCGACTCACTCTCTTTACTGCAAACTTTGTGATTTTACCCAGCTTTGTTTTGTTAACCGCT